GTCAAGTTTATAGGCTACTTTTCCAATTTTCTGTATTATCTTGAAAGGACCATAAAATCTTTTGGAAAGTTTGGTGTAAGGAGGATTAGTAGTTGTTTTCTGGCGATAGGGGCGCAGACAGACATAAACATAAGAGCCTTCGGTAAATGTGATGTCTCTTCGATGTTTGTCGATGTTAATTTTCATGACAGTTTGTGCTTCGAGTATTTTGGCTCTGAGTTTGGTGATAAGTTGCTGGCGAAAAGTGAGTAAGGAATCTATTGCTTCAATGGAAGATTGTCCGTGTATATATTGGGGTATGGATGGAGGTTTCTTGCCATATGTGATTTGGTATGATGTAAGGCCTGTAGTAGAGTGGACAGAAGTGTTATGGGACCATTAAGCCAAGGAAAGATAACTGGACCATTGGGATGGTTTATGATGAACAAAAGATCGTAAGTACTACTCGAGAACTCGGTTAAAGACCTCTGTTTGACCATCAATTTCAGGGTGGTAGGTGGTGCTCATGCGTAATTTGGTGCTACAGAGGGAGAAATGTTCGCGCCAAAATTTTCTAAAGAATAATGGATCACAATTAGATACTATACTCCTTGGCATACCATGTAGTTTTCACACAATTTCAAAGAAGACAATGGCTATCTTGTGGGCAGTAAAGTTAGGATTTAATGTAGCCAAACGTACGCCTTTAGAAAGGCGATCTACTACGACCAAAATTGCATTGTGGCCTTTAGAAAGTGGTAATCCATTGATGAAGTCGAGAGAAAGATCCTCCCAAATGGCTTGAGGAACTGGGATGGGTTGTAAGAGGCCTGATGGTTTTTTTGTTTCATATTCGACTTGTTGGCAAATGGCACAGGTTTTGACAAATTCTTGTACTTGGTGTCTCATACCTTCCCACCAAAAATTGGCTTTCAAATGGGCTAAGGTTTTGGCGAATCCCACGTGGCCAGTTGTAGGAGAACTATGGAATTCTTCTAAGAGTGTGTGACAAAAGGAAAGGGAGTGATGAAGTCAGATGCGGTTATTGAATAAAATGAGGCCTTGGTGAATTTTGTGGTTAGGAAATTGGGAAGGTTTTTGTGAAATTTGCTTGTATAGTGAGGTAAAATGGGGATTAGCAGTCAATGCTATTTTTAGTTGCTCTAGAAACAAAAAATTAGGCATAGAGAGAGAAAGAAAGAGATGCGTACTTGAGATTGTGTCTGGAATGCGAGAGAGAGCGTCTGCAACTAAATTGGATTTCCATGTCTTGTACTGAATCGTGTAATCATATTCTTGTACCCCAAAATTTCCCCTCTCATCTCTCAAGAAATCTCTCACAAGATCTCCCTTGATTCAAGACTGCACAAGGGATGATCAGCTCAAGGCACCTCCTCAAGCACTGATAACTGAACATTAGGGTTTGAGTTTGCACAAGGACAAATGGACTTTTAATATCCCATATGACTTTCATGGATAATTTTGAACCATCAAGATTTTTCATGTCAAGTTTCAAGTCTTGGATCACATTTTTGCTCAGTCAATTGATCAGTTGACCTAAAACCAACTGTATTGGGAAAAAAGTCAACTGTGGTCAATTTACAGTCAAACTTCATAATTTTTGATCCATATCAACATCATGAACTCATATATGCCAATTTATCAAGTTCGGATCATAATTCCTCAAGAAATTTGATCAGATCATCAAAAGGGCAAAATGGTCAAAATTAGGGTTTTGACTAAGAAAGTTCAATTTCTGATTTTTGACTTAGCAAATGACTCATTGGTTTGAGACATGATCTCAAGGATTCAAATGCTTAATTTTTACCTAATGGCATAGCTCAAAACATTTCTCAAGTCAATTGATTGGCAGATGAATTTCAGTCAACTAATGAAAAATCAATTGTACAACTGAAAAGTCAAACTTTGACTTTTTGATCAAAATCAAGTTTCAAAGATTACAATTCATAAAGACATGTCAAAATATGAAACTTGTTCATCAAGAAATCAAAAAGTCAAGATTTCATTTTGAAAAGTCAAAATTTCTAAACTTAGAATTTTTTCTAAGTGTTGAAAATTCATATTTTTTTCATAACTTTGAGCCAAATTTTCACCATGATGCAAGATGATTCAAAGGAAACTTCCGACATGAAAGTTGTATATCTCAATGATATCTAAAACATTTTAGAACATAACTTTTTCTAGAAATGCTTATATTTCAAGTTATGATATTGTGAAGACATGTTCATGAAACTTGAAAAACTTAGTGAAATTTTGCCCTAGTTTAGGCAGGATTTTGACCTAACTTCATGGCAATTTTTCACATAGTTACAAGATGAATCTTCAAAAATTTCCAACATGGAGTTTGTAGATGATGTTACAAGCTTTCCAAAATGTCTAAGAACTCATTGAGATCATACTTGAGCTAGGAGAATCAAAGGCAAGAAGTTAGGGTTTCAAACTTGAATTACAAGCCATTTCTTGATGAACACATAATCCAATCTCAATGTTAGGCTGCATAATCTTGCTTTGCATGCCTTCTAACTTGTGTATCTATCCATCATTAATGAATTACACAAACTTTTAGGCGTGTAAGTGATGTGGGTGGTGAAGTTGGTGGTGGTGGAACAATGGTGAGAGCTGCGATTTGTTCAGCTAGGGCATCGATTTTGGATGAAAGATCATAGAATCTTTCTGCATTGGTGGGTCTGTTTGCCATGGGAAGTGAGTAAGAGCAGTGAAAGCACCAATTTATTAGGGGATATGATCCTTGATTTAGTAGGACAAGGGGATTCTCCTTAGAATGTAAGATAAGAAGAGAGTTTGTTTTGAATTTTGTTCTTCATTCATCAGAAAAGATACATTATATAGATCTAGTTTTGGATCTCATCCTAATGTGATAAATTAGAATCCCACATTTTAAGGAGTGGAATATCTAATACAACTAATAGGAAAATCTATGACAACTAATAATTAATCATAACAAAATTTATAAACTTCTTTTATTCTTTGGCATCTTGTGCTATTAGTCTTCAAATCTACTGGGCCTTTTGATGGTTCTTTTGGGCCTGTTTGGAGCTGCTGCTAATGTGCTTGAGTCCATAGTAGTTTTGGGCTTTGGTTCTGCAGTTGGGCTAACAGAAGTCATATAATACAATTGCAACATCACATACACCTTAATCCAAGAATTAATAATGGTTGGGCTATCACCTTGAGTGTAAAAGGGTTCTCTTCTCAGTATTTACGCAGGCAGGCATTGTGACTGTAGTTTATACCCCTTAGTGGTCGCGACAAAAGCGAGGCCAAGTCCAATATTTCCTGTTGTTTGTTATACTAAAACAGTCTACACAAATTCAGAATCAGGAAGTTAAAGAAAATCCAAGATTCAATTTCTTTGAATAAATCAATACATCATATTATCAATTTATACATCATATAATGATATTGAAAGGGTGCTCGAACTTTCAGCGGTTTATGCATGTATTCAAATGAAAGACGAACTTAGTTGATGTGAGTCAACGATGTAAAATATTCTTAGCTAATTAATTTGGGACCGTATATTTTAGCTTTTGTTTAAAATAATTTTAATAATGTTACACATTAATCGTACCTGATCAGAATGGATTGTCAAAGCTCACAAGCTTTAAGCCGAGCAGCAGCTGAATGTGAAGTGAGGGGGTACCTGCAAGACACTCCGATGCTAAAGTGAAGTTCAGAGCAAGTGCAAGCAAGTATGAGAATGTGAATGAGAGATTGAATATCTGACTCTCTCAAGTGAGAGGGTATTTATAGCCCCCAGCGCTGGGCCAAGGTCCCCATTGTTGAGCTGAGCAAGCAGACCCAAAATGAAGACTGTCAAGTTCTACGTGCATAGTGGGGTCTAGCACGTGGTTTCCAACTTGGATGAACTCCTACTATCAAGAGGATATGGATGCAGTCTTTTCGGAGTCAAGAAGACTCTGTGACATTCAGAGGTGGTAAAAGTAAGCCATACAAGGAGGATGCTCGAGAGGTCCTTTTGACCATCGTTTGTCCTCCTCGCCAGTTGTGAGGTTGTCCCCGGAGGACTTGTTTTGATCGAGAAGAGTGGAAAATGTTCGAGAGGTCCTTCTGATTGTCGTTGGTCCTCCTCGCCAGTCATGGATTTATCCCCGTAGGACAAAGCTCGCTGCCCGACTTGATTGATGGCATACCATTTCCTGATGGCCTTCTCGTGCAGTATAGTTGGATTAGGCCTTGTATGATGTTTGGTCCAAGTGCAAGCCCAATCCAGAAGACATATTTTTATTAATTTTTTAAATAAATTTTTAATAAAAAATAATTTAAATTATTATTTTTAAAATATTACTTTAGATATTTTATTATTTAACTATAATTTTTTAGATATTAAAATTTCAAAAAATAATTTAAACTTATATTTATTTCAAATAATTTTTCACAAAAATCATTTTTGAAATAAAATTTTTTGAAAAAAATTTATAATTTTAACTATGTTTTAATCTTTAATTAAATAATATATATATTTATGTTATAAATATCAAAATGAATTTTTTATATATAAAAATGAATTTAAGAAAACTTTTAATATTTAAATTGTTTTTTTAATTTTCCAAAGAAATCTACTATTTCTTTAAAGTTAAAAACAACTGACCTTTAACAAATTAGTGAATTACAAAAATATTTAGAGTTTTTAATTTATTTTTCAACAACAATATTTCTTTTGGGTTATATGGTGTGTTAATACTAGTAAATTAAAGTTATAAAAAAACCTTGAAAAACCCAATCAAAGGAAAATCTAACTGTGTGACGCCTTCTGAAACTGATTCGCCGTCATCCAGCTCCGCCAAATACAGCAGCACCGCCGCACCTTTCTAGATTTCTGTCTCCCTCTTCCTTAGGTAAACCGCATACACTCTCTTTCATTTTTCTAATTCCCATTCATTTGTGAATTCCTGTTATTGTAACTATTTTTATTTTTTTATGGTCGTTGGCAGTTATAGATTCCATTATTGTTGAGCGCGATGACAATACGCCCAACTTCACGGCGAGTTTTCAACTCGGTTTACCGATGCATTTCATCTTCATCTCGTTCTTCTTCCACTGACGCTAAACCTCTTCCACTTCCTCCCGTTGTTTCCTCCCGGAGAGTAGTCGTCACCGGTAATTCTCCTTCACTTTCATTTCTTCCTTCTTTTATCCACATCTTGTACTTGTTTGAAATTTCGCGGTGTTTGAATTGTAGGTTTAGGTATGGTGACACCTCTTGGTTGTGGAGTGGATAAAACATGGAAGCAATTGATTGATGGAAAATGTGGGATTAGGGCATTGCGTTTGGAGGATCTCAAGATGAGTAGTTTTGATTCCGAAACTCAGTTGACTACATTTGATCAACTGACTTCCAAAGTTGCTGCTATTGTTCCCACTGGAACCAACCCCGGCCAATTCAATGACGAATTTTGGCTTAATTCTAAGGTATATCTATATATGTATGTGGCTTAACTCAAAGCTGGATAACTGGAATCATGTTGTATCCGAAGAACTATTATGCTTATTGATGTCATTGTAGTATTGTGACATTTCCCTTAGGAACATCGATCAATGACAAGGTTTATAGCATATGCTCTATGTGCTGCTGATGAAGCTCTTAGAGATTCTAATTGGTTTCCTACTGAGCAGGAACACAAAGAAAGAACGGTATTCTATTTTTAATATGGTTGATTACATTTACAACTAATTTTTGACAATTCCCTTGCACTGTATTTTAACTTCAAAAGTAATCAGGGGGTGTCTATTGGTGGGGGAACTGGAAGCGTCGGTGACATGTTAGACTCTGCACAACTGATATGCGAGAAGGTCATTTTGTTGGAACTTGGAAGTCACCGCTACTGATTCTGAAATACTTTGATGATCTTTCCTCATTCAAGTTTTTCTCTAAGTGCTTTAATTATGATTGCAAAATGATTTGTTAATTTAAACTTTTGTATTTGATTTTTTACTTTTTCTCCCCTGTATGCAGCGTCTTCGTCGAATTAGTCCATTTTTTATCCCCCGGATATTGATCAACATGGCATCAGGTCATGTCAGCATGAAATATGGGTTCCAGGTAAAGAACTGAACTGCTCAATTGATTGATATTCTATAATACAAATATAGTCCGCTCCTATAGTTTCTGGACAGACAACTGCATTTTGCTATACTATCTTTGATAGATATACTTTTAAAAAAGAAATTCTGTAGATGTATAGAGTGAAGTATCCGTACCGGGTACACCTCACGTACTCGTGGTACTTATTATTTCTCATTATTCTGATTCGAGTGAAATTTGTAATTTTCTCATATATTAATATAATATGTTTATGTATTTTAGTTTCTTTGTTATTGTAACTTAACACAATTTTTTACTTTTAAACTTTTATTGTGATGTTTTGTTGTGAATTGAACAATTTAATTCCCTACTAATACATTTTATAGAGAAATTTTTATTTTCAATTAACGTACCCGTAGCTGGATTTTTAAAAAAATGGCGTATCTCGTACCGCTACCCGTACTCATACCGGGTACCGTACCCGTACCTATGCATCATAGGTGCAAATTATTGTATTTTAAGTATGATGATTATTTGTTCACTACAATATATCTTGCTTCAATGTTTCTTACTCTTTTTAGTTTAAAAATTAAACAAACACCATATCCACTGAGAAATGATTAGCAGCCTTCTGAAACAAAGATCTAACTCTTTTACCTGTCACTTTGGATATAGTTATGTAACTTGTGTCAAACATGTTTTTACGAGATTGGTTAATCAATCATGATATGTTCCTGGAAGAACTATTATAAGTTTTAACATATGTCAAAAAAACATCTGAAAAATAAGGTACTAAAGCTTATTGTTGTTTTTGTTGCAGAGCTATTCACATATTTTTTAATGCTGACCTTTGTGATCATTATTAGTTGTGAATTGAACTTCTTCCCTATTCCTGAATACAGGGGCCAAATCATGCTGCAGTCACTGCTTGTGCTACTGGATCACATTCTATTGGTGATGCCATGAGAATGATTCAATTTGGGGATGCAGATGTTATGGTGACTGGAGGGACTGAGTCGAGCATTGATGCATTGTCAATTGCAGGATTCTGCAGGTAAATTATAGCTAACATCCTGTGTTTTATGTTAGTGCCAACCACCATATTAGTCCTCTGTCTTTTGTCCGTCTGATGCTTTAAAACCTGATATTGGAAACTTGCAGGTCCCGAGCCTTGACTACAAAGTATAACTCAATGCCACAAGAAGCATCACGGCCATTTGACAGTGGTCGAGACGGGTTTGTGTGAGTATAACAACACTGCAGATTTGTTACTTATATTATAATAATTAATTTTAGTTTTTTCATTTTCTGACTTCAAATTATTTGTTTGTTTGTCTTGCTGCTTATATCCAAGTTGTGTTCTTACTCAGGATAGGAGAAGGTTCTGGAGTCTTGGTCTTGGAGGTTAGTAAAAAAGTTTACTGTGTATCTATCCCTCCAATTCCTCTTCACTTCTTTGTTTATAGTCTGATCGTTCTTGTTTATTTGTTTCCCCTATTGTTTAGGAACTTGAGCACGCTAAAAACCGAGGAGCCAAAATCTATGCAGAGATTCGTGGCTACGGGATGTCAGGTAATTTGTTGCATGATATGCAAAATTTTCTCCCTAATCTTAGTTTTATATGAGATTGACTTCATTTCATATGGATTTTGATTAGGGGATGCATATCACATTACTCAACCTCCTAATGATGGGAGAGGTGCCATTCTGGCCATGACTCGAGCTTTAAGACAGGTTTCTGTCATCATCCTATGTTGATCTGAATTTTCTATACAGCATTAGAGGTTTTATGTTTGCTAAGCTGCCAACTTATCATGTATGCATGTTGTGACTATTTTCCCTTTCTCCCCCTCATTTTATTTATATAGTATTACCCAACAAATTTCATACTCCACATGTCATGTTTTGAGCGTGACAATGGTGTTGATTGAGATTCTCACATTAGATAGTGATCTAATCTGAACAAAGGTTTTAAAGCGGGGGCAACCTACACCTCAAGAGCTAAAATTTGCGGTTGAGTTAGACCTGAATCCAAATTCTATCGAGCCTTGTAGCTCCACATTATCTTTCCAGAATCTCTATCTGTACTCTATTCTTGTTACCATCATGTACTGATCAATGAGCTACACACGGCCCTTATACTAGTTGATAGTAGGAACTGATATTTTTTTGTGAAGATTTTGGGATTTTCTCTTATTTACAGAGAACTTCAGGTTGTAGGGTATGCAGACCTCCTTATGCCCAAATGCCCTAGCTCTCTAAAATGACAATATCCCTCTCTGTCTCAATCTCTTCTTATTTGATGCCCTATTTCTCTAATTATCCTAGCCTCCAACTACTAACTAACCAATTCTAACTCCCTTAACTACCAAACCTGGAGAATGTGAAAATTTGGGAAGATAACTGGCTGCCAGAAACTGCAGGATTTAAAGTTCACAGTCCGGTTCGATTCCTTGACAAAGACGCATTGGTGAGTGAACTAATTGATCAGGAGCTGCTTCTATGGAACAAGAACACTTTAAATAATTGTTTTGATCCTGCTGTAGCAAATCAGACTACTAGCATTCCCCTTTCCTTAAGGAGGCCAGTTGATAAGCTTATTTGGCACAGTGAAAGAAATGGCAAATTCTCGGTTAAATTGGCATACCATCTTCTGGGAGCAAAAAGATCATTAACTCAACCAGGTCCCTCTTGCTCTCCGCACCAGAAACTTTGGAAGAAAATCTGGCATTGTGGTGTCCATAACAGAATCAAAAACTTTGGAGGCTCGCGAAGAACATCCTTCCAACGAAACATAATTTGCACAAGAAAGGTGTCAGGTTAGATAATCTTTGTCCACTGTGTCATTCATGTCCCGTAACAACACACCATTTATTCATGCTTTGTCCTCTCACCAAAATGGTATGGTTTTCTTCACCATGTGGTATCCGGATTCCCCCTAACTTAGATTTACTTGATTGGCTGGCGCAATGTTTCTTGAATGATGATCTGTTTGTGGTTCAAATGGTCTGCACTATTTTGTGGAAAATTTGGTGAGCGAGGAACCAATGCCTCTCCAATCAGATTCAATTTGTTCTGCATATGGTGGCTGAAAGTGCTTTAGATTGTGTGCAGGAGTTCAACAGAGCTAATGCCCATTTGTATCGGAAGAAAGTACCAATGCAGGAAACTGTCCAGAACTGCAGACTCAAAGATTTCACTATTATCCAGGTTGATGCTGGATGTTTCCTCAACGGAAATGTGGCCATGGGATGTGATCTCAACATCGGACAAGAAGATTATTCTATCGGCCAGTAAGAAGGAGGCAATCTCTGTGGATCCGTGCCTTGCTGAGGCCTTGGCCATTCAATGGGGCCTGCTGTTGGCTCGCGAGTTACAGTCGAAGCGAGTGCTGGTGCAATCAGATACTCTAACTGTTGACTGTATTAATTCCATTAAGTTTTCTGCTGTGTTAGAACATATTATCTAGACTGTAAGATGTTGTTAACCCTTTTCAAAGATGCCTCTGTTATGTTTCTTAGCAGATCTCTAAATGTGGATGCTCACTACTTGGTTGGTGTTGGGAATAAGCTAGGTTCTAGGACTTGGTTGGGTTGCATCCCACAAGTAGAAGTCCTTTCCTCTTGTATGGTTCCTGTTTCTTGCTGTTAAAAAAAAAATACTAAATCTATTACACAATCTTCTTCACTTTCATTGTCACTATGAAATCTATCAACTGCAGGAATCAAAAGTTATGCTGTCACAGTAATAAGTGTATGCACAAGATGCCAAACTTTTCTCATAACCAGTACTGGTTAGATATTAGCAAAAATGAAATTAAAATTATCACGCGGAAGAGTTTATATTAAAATACTTTTGGCAGTTATTATTTGAGGGCCCTCCAGATGCCTATTTAGGAGACATCATGTCTTTATGATATTAAACTCTTATTCCATACTGTACTATTGTTTTCTCTCTACATTTATGACATAGTCATAGTCTCGATAATCTTCATTTTAAATGATTTCATTTTTATAAATTTCAGTCAGGTCTTCATCCTTCTGATGTAGATTACATAAATGCACATGCTACATCTACAAATTTGGGCAAGTGAAGCAGACCCTTACTGATTCCAGCAATCTAAGTTTGAATGTTTATTATGTTTGAATACTTCATCAGTGGAGGCTTATGCTTATATCATAACGTATCTCACCAGAATTCTTTTTACAGGTGATGCAATAGAAGCTAATGCTATCAAAACCGTATTCTCTGACCATGCTAGCTCTTCTGCTTTAGCCTTCTCCTCCACCAAGGTAAGGGTGGTTGTGAGCTGCAAGAATAACAAGTTATATGCTTATCTGTTTGGCTGTCTAATTTAAGTACTGACCTCCTCTTAGATGAAAGCTCTCATGTATGGGAATTGAGATGCCATTAAATGTTCAAAACAAAAAATTGGATTGGGGGAATATTGACAAATTGAATTAAGTCCATGACTTTTCCCCAATTTCTCTGATTTCAGGGGGCTATCGGTCATCTCCTAGGTGCTGCTGGAGCAGTTGAAGCAATTTTTTCTGTTTTAGCAATACGACATGTAAGCAACTTTTTGGCATTTTGGGTACCTGCATCATAGAAGTCGTGGGGAACCATTTTTGGACACCATGAATTTGTGCTTAGTCTATAACCAGATCCTGTATGCTTAATGAAATAGTGTGGTTGTTTTGTTCTTATCACAGGGAATCGCTCCATTAACTCTTAATTTAACAAAGCCAGATTCTGTATTTGGTGATGGTTTCATGCCGTTGACTGCTTCAAAGGAGATGCCTATTAGAGTAGCTATGTCAAACTCTTTTGGTTTTGGAGGAACAAATGCCTCCCTACTTTTTGCCTACTCTGGATCAGACTTATAGTATAGATTGCATCTAATTTATTCTACTGGCGTTATTCTACACAAGAGCTGAAGCATCATGCTGAGGAGAGTTTAATCGCCTAAAGCCCTGTTGTTTTTGCTCATCAGTTCTTCAACGTGATTAGCTTTTAATTATTTGTAACCCTCTTATGATTATTCTAATTGCACTGTGGGGCCATCTGGCCATGATGTATGGTTCAAGTAGATTAGGATGGGTGAGTTGAAGTAGACAAATATTTTGTTTCTAGTTTTACTTTGATTGATATGAAATAAATATTTTGATTAAAAAAACCATTATTGTTGGATGTATATAATATGATATTTTTTGTTTCACAACATCTTTGTGAGTGCAATCTGAAACTATGGATCTTCAGGTTCAGGTTGTTCTAGTGGAGATATCTTTTAGCCATGGCTGACACTTTAGTGTGTCATAGAACTTCAAAAGGAATTATATAATTGATATATCAATTTAATTACATATTTATCTCCTAGACCTAGAAAATGCTAGTGGTGGTGCAGAAGTAGACCTCAGCATGAGGCTCATTTAGGAGTGGCAATAGGTCCACCCCACAAAGCTCACAAGAAAACGGGGTCGGATGAGCTTTGTTAAGGATGTAGGTCTAAAATTTTGACCCGTCATGTAAAAAAATTGGTTCGTGGGCACCGCATGTTTTTAGCTTAAAAATGATGAAATATATATTAATTTTTGTTTAAAATTAGAGGGTGTGGGCTTAAAATTTTAGTCAGTTCTGGGAAAAAGTGCAGGAAAAACAGATATAATTGATCGTCCAGACCCGTTTTGTCATTCTTACTAATTAATAAGAATTATAATGCGACCTGGCTTGACACCGTGACTGAGGAGAGTCCTTCTGGTGGGACAGAAAGTCAAATAAGATCCTTCAAAAATCAGTTTGAAACGAATCTAAGATTTCTAAATATGTAAAAAAAAATGCAAATAAAAGTAAACGTATCTGTTGAAAGTAATTCATATTCAGAAGCTGTTGTTAGAGTCAGAAGTTTCTGATGTTATTACCCAGAAGCAGTGTTGCTCATAAGTAGTTGAGTTTTTAAGGTTGTTAGTTAGAAGTTGTAAGTTTCTGAGACCACTTAGTTAGAAGCAGTAGTTTGATATATTCAGAAGTTGTTATTAATCAGAAGCAAAAATTTCTGAGGTTACGCCCAAAAGTATGTTTAGCTTATGAGGTTGTAGTTATTTTGTTTACTTAGCTATTAAGTATAGTTTGCTTATTTATTAAGTTTATCTCTTGTTAGAGCCTACATGGTAATTTACTTTGTGTATAAATAGACTAGTGATAACTGTCATTTGTAATGATTTCTTCTTACAACTTTACAGTCGCCATTCCTTTTGTTTTCATAAATACATTCTCATTTCTTTTTTTTTGTTCTTAATCTTGTGCACTAACAATTGGTATCTAGAGTTCCGATTCAGATTTACGGGAAAACACGAGTGAAATGGTGGGGCGTTGTGTGATTGATTTTGGTTCTTGAATTCGTGTTTGAATCTTGAACAAAATCGGAACAAAATCGCATTTTCTGATTCTGCGGGATTGAGAAACATTGTGTTTAGTGAGATCTGAGAGTGTTGTACAAGATTGAAGATGAACGGAGACGGTAATCTGAGCACCAAACTTCCAGTTTTTGATGACAAGAACTAAAATAGATGGATGATTTAGGTGCGCGTGTTATTCGGTGCTCAAGATGTTCTTGAGCTTGTTACCGAAGGTTACGTTTCGGTTGCAGCAGATGCTACGGAAGAACAGAGAACCGCGCAGAGAGACAAAAGAAAGAAAGATCAGAAGGCGTTGTTCTACATTCATCAGTGTGTGGATGTGAACGTGTTTGAGAAAATCACTGATTCGACGACGGAGAAGGCTATGTGGGACACACTGGTTAGGTGTTACGGTGGTGACACATCAGTGAAGAAGGTAGAGCTTCAGTCCCTATGAAAGCAGTATGAGAATCTCAACATGAAGAACAACAAGAAAGTTTCTGAGTATATCTCCAGAGTAATTTTGATCACTAATGAGATGAAATCTTGTGGAAAAACCCTTTCCGAACAAGTAATCATTGAGAAGATATTAAGGTCTCTTACCCCTCAATTTAATTACATTGTGGTAGCAATTGAACTTTCTAAATATCTGAACACCATGAGCGTAGAAGAGATGCAAAGCAGTCTAGAGGCGCAAGAGTTGTGCCTGACTGAAAGAACTTCTGAGAGGGAGGTTGAGCAGACTCTGAAAGCTTCTTTGTCAAGAAGGACCAAGCAGAAAAAACATGGCAGGTCTCAGAAGTCAGAAATATTCTACTCTAATGAGAAGAAACATCAGAAGGGGAAGGAGAAGTATAACAAGAGAATGGTTCAATGTTACTGTTGTAATATGTTTGGTCACTTTCCTAAAGGTTGTTGGTCAAACAAAGAAGAAGCAAAAATATCTAGAGGAGATTCTAATGATGAACATGTGCTATTGATGGCTTATGAATCTGACGAGGAGCCTGTGCGATTATCGTTTTCTGATTCTGAAGGAGTGTTTAAATATAAGTCAGAATCAGAAGATGACTTTGAAGATGAGTCAAAATCTGGGGTTTTTGAAGATGAGTCAAAGTTAGAAGATGACTCTGAAGCTGAAGACAAGTCAGAATCCAAAGGTGATTATGAGTTTGAAGAAGAATCAGAAGATGAGTCAGAATCTGAAGGAGATTCCGCTTCTGAAGATGAATCAGAATCTGAAGGTTCTGAAGATGATTCAAAACTTGAAAGTTCTGAGAAGAGTCAGAGTCAAAAGATGATTTTGGAGATTTTGAATATGAGTCAGATGGTGAATCTGATTCTGATTCGGATTTTGATGATGATCCAAAATCTGATGGTGATCATGTTTCTGGAAGAGAAAATTCTGAAGACATAGATTTTAGAGGACAAGTTTCTGAAGATGATCATGTTTCTAATGGAAATCATGTATCTAAAGGTGGACCTTCTGAAGGAGGAGCTTCTGAAGGTAGTCCAACCTCTGACGGTGGTAATGATTCTGAAGGTGATCCAACTTTTGAAGATGGTACTTTTGAAAGTAGTGGTTCTGGTGGTAGTAGAACTTCTGAAGAAAGTTCATAAGGAGATTCTGTTACAGAATCAGAAGGAGATTTTGAACAAGTTCAGAGGCCACAAAAAAATAAGACTTGGGAGTTAATTGAGCTTTCAAAGGAGAAGAAAACCATCAGTGTCAGATGAGTTTTAAAGGATAAATATGTTTTTCTAAATGGAATATTAGAAGTTGTACACTGTAGCAATCAGAAGCAACTTACAATTGTTCTAACGAAGAATGTCAAGACTGAACACTTTATCCGTTTGAGGGATGAAATTGTTGTTGTAATTTTTTGGTTAGCTGAATATGAATTAAGGGATGATGTTGGAAGTCATTCATATTCAAAAGCTGTTGTTAGAGTCAAAAGCTTATGATGTTATTACTCATAAGTAGTGTTGCTCAGAAGCAGTTGAGCTTCTGAGGTTGTTAGTCGAAAGTTGTAAGCTTCTGAGGCTGTTTAGTTAGAAGCAGTAGTTTGATATATTTAGATGTTGTTATTAGTCAGAAGCATAAGCTTCTGAGGTTACGCCCAAAAGTATGTTTAACTTCTGGGGTTTTAGTTATTTTGTTTACTTAGCTATTAAGTCTAGTTTGCTTAATTATTAAGTTTACATTTTGTTAAGGCCTACGTGACAATTTACTTTGTGTATAAATAGACTAGTGTAACTCTCATTTGTAATAATTCCTTCTTACAACTTTACAATCGTCATTCCTTTTATTCTTGTAAATATATTCTCATTCCTTTTTTTTTTGTTCTTAACCTTGTACACTAACAATATCTAATAATAGTTAGATGACTAAAAATTAATAGTAGACCTTTGTCCATCGTTTTGATGAAAAATTCAACTGGATATTTTGAGTGTTTTGAAGCTTTTTGAAATAGAAAACAATAAAACAAATGAAATGGAAAAAAAAGCCTAACTGAGTTTTATATTACATTTGAAATAGAACGATTCTTCTGAAATTAAAAAACCGTTTAAAAAGATCTTTCTAAAAACATCCATTATTAATATATAAAGACTTTGTTTGGATTGATGGAGTCGGATGGAGCGAAGCGGATTGTAATGGAATAAAATGATATTTCATTCTTTGGATTGTTTAAAATTGGATGGAGCAGAGCGGAATGAAGTGATATTGATTTCATTTCATTATGTCATACACCACTATATTTTTTCATTTGGATTTGGACGGACTGAAAAATTTACTTTATTCAGTCATAAAATTTAAAATGATATATTGGTTCTGCTCTATTTCATTTTGTTTCATTCCACTCCGCTCCGCTCCATTATGTTCTATTCATTTTATTATATCCAAAGATATAAAAAATTAGTGAAAAATGGAGAGAGAATTTCCCATAATTTTTATTATGGTTATAGAATATTCATACAGATCGAACATTTTAGCACAAGATGAAATCTTAAGAACAAGAAAGATTTAGGAGTGTGGTAAAGTGAATAAAATTACGAACAATAACTGGACAATTGATGAAGAATTCTCACAGTTGCATGAACGTTTTCTTAAGTATAATATACAAATAAGTTATGATAGAAAAGACATGGGAATCCATTTGACAACAAGTCTAGATTTTGTGAAATGATTCGCAATATTTCCCCACCATTATTTGAGAAATTATCGCATATAATAAACTGACCTTCACATCAAAATCTACTTGTACTTAAGAAGATTTGTGACAATTCTTCAAAATAGTAAATTCTACAATCATAGTTTGCATTTCCCATCTCTCAATTTTTAGGGCACATATAAAGTTGAATTTTTTGTTGGACCATTTAAAATGATAGGAATTATAATTTTGTTCAAAGGGAGGGTTTTATAATTTTGAACAGGTCTATTGAGTGATCTGTTTGGCGAGCTAATCCAGCCACTTATCTTGTATAATTTGTTG